CGCTTCATACCGAGGAAGCTAAGGGATCTCTATGAAGTCTGCGAGCGTAGAGATGAGGCTTTCCTGTTCATCGTCCATCACTGCTTCCCAGAGCCCAGAGACCACTCCACTACCACTGATTACAATTTATTCTTTCTCTCCATCCACCCATCTGTTCCTCTAGCCACGCGCCCAGTCCACTCCACACTGTCTTGTGTGCAGGGCTGCCTCACAGAGGCATATATTTCTACTGGTTCCAGTCAGAGGGAATGGGAACATCCTGCATTTTGAAGACCACTCTTTGCGTGGTGTGGCTGCCCTTATACACATGGGAATATACGGGGAAGCCGAGTTGGGTCAGGGCCTGCACCTGGGCACAGAGGACGTGAAAGATGAGACCGTGTCTTCGGTACTGAGGCACAGTGCCTGCCATCCGCTGCTCTTCTGTCTGGTCCACCAGGGTCCAGGACACAGGGGTCCCTTCGGGTCCCAGCAGCCAGAAGGAGGGGAAAGTCTGGATACAGCACTCGATGAATCTCTGGATCCTCTCATTGCTGCCAAAATGCCAGAATTTATTCGCCAGGGCAGCGTGGGTGACATCCAGGGATAAGAGTTTAAACATTTCTTGGTTGCTATTGGGAACAAGGAAGAAGAGTAGACCATAATATATCACACACTGTGAAGTATATTTGTTTCCTCCCAGATTGTCCTGACAGGCAAATAGGAGCATATTCCAGGGGCTCTGCAGCAAGGCTATCTGGGTTCATCACCTGGCTCCTCGTGGGGCTGATTGCCTTTATTTCCTCATCTAATAAATAGGGATGATAATCACAACTCCCTCATAGAATCGTTGTGAGGTTTAAATGAGCCATTGGATATAGGTGCTTAGAACAAGTACCTGGCAGTTAGTTAAGTGCCCCACAGAAATTGGCTGCAATGATTTCACTTGGCCTTGGCCATAACCCTCCAACCTAGATAGGACAGGTAATCTCGTCCTCATGTTATGTAGGAAGAAAAAGTTTCAGAGAAAATAAACAAGTGCTCCCAAGCACATGCCAGCAAGATGTAAAGCCAGAGCTGAGAATCATGGAATGCTGGTGTCAGGGGGCCCTTGGCCACTGTGGGGAAGCTTCAGTCCAGAGAGAGGCAGTGATGTGGAGAGCAGGCAGCTCCAAAGTACAGAACACTGAAGTCTGCAGGCTTCTGCCATGGTGTCACAGGGCTTCGGGGTATGTCCTGGAAAGAGGCCACATTATGGGACGAGGAGATCAAGATTCAAGCTCCAGTAATGCCTCAATCATCCACGTGACCTGAACAAGCTATGTCATGATCTGAGCCTGTTTTCTGCCAGGACAAAGGGGAGAATACCTCCTACTTTGTCTATCTCATGGGATGGACAAGAGAATCAAATGAGATTATAGATTTGGAGGTGCTTTTCAGGTGTAGTGTACGATCCAGTGTGAACAAAGCTTTTCCAGGCATACCAATACATGAAAGGTCATGAACTTGGGTGTCTCCAGGTCACATCTCTGCCGTCAGGATTCAGTTCTACTCAGTGTTAGACTAGACATCAATGGGAGAAACTATATGATTTGTTGACATTGCCGTTATTGGGAAACTTTTGTTCTGTGACGTGAAGTCACTACACACGTATTTATTGAGCACCTACTATATCATCAGACACTGGTGTAGCTGTTGAGGACCTATCAATGAACAAGGCAGAGAAGGCATCTGCTCTGGGGGTGGGGGTTGCAATATTGTTGGGAAGAGGTCAAACATCAAATAAGTATGTAAGTAAACTAAGTTAGCTAATTTCAAAGAATCATAAGTGCTACGAAGAACGTAAAACTAAGTTATTTGTGTAAAATAAGAGGGAAGTGACTTTCTGTGGCTGGTGTAACCAGGATTATTTCGAGGTGAGATGGGAAGTGCTAGAATCTTTTAAGAAGGGAGGGAGATGGTCTAATTCACATTTTAAAAAAGATGACTTTAGCTGCTTTGCAGAAAATGGATTATAGAAAATCCAAGCAAAATCTGGAGGAGAAGTAGGGAGCTATAGTGTGCTGAATGGTGTGTCCACTCCAAAGATATGTCCACCTGGAACCTGAAAATATGGCCTTATTTCGAAAAGAGTCTTTGCAGATGTAAATAGACGAAGGATGTTGACATGAAATCATCCTGGATTATCCGGGGGCCTTTACATCCAACGGCAATCCTTATAACAGACCGAAGAGAAGCCGCGAACACAGAGGAGAAGACCGTATGAGGGCAAAATCAGACTAGAGTGATGAAGCCACAAGCTAAGGAATGCTTAGAGCCACCAGAAGCCGGAAGAGGCAAGGACGGATTCTCCCCTAGAGGCTTGGAAGGGAACGCAGGCTTGCTGACACCTTGACTTCAGACTTCTGGACCCTTGGAGAGAATACACTTCTATGCTTTCAAGCCGCCCCAGCTCATGGTGCTTCTTTGCAGCAGTCCTAGAAAAGGAACCCACAGGCTCCTGCGGTCACGAAGAGGTGGACAGAGCAGAGGGGCTCTTGCCAAACTTACGTGGAACCGAATTTGCCACGATCGGATGATAACTTCCCTTTCAGCAGGGAGGGGAGCCGTTCTCGGGCTGTCTCAAAGGCCATATAGAGGATGCCTTGTGTGTGCTTGACCTTGCCCTGGATAGCTACAAGATTTTTTATCGCTTCATCCAGGCTGGACTGTGAACCTCGCTGAAGAAAATGAGGAATAATATGAGCTATCGCTGTTCATTTCAATGTCAGGGAAAAGCTGCCTGGCAGCCGGGAAGTTTGTGTGTTTCGAGGCCTCAAACCTCGTGTGCAGTTATGACATGGCCTCTGTAGGATCATGGTTAAGTCACTACCACATTTTTAAAATTTAAAATTGGGATAACATTATAATTCCCGAACACATCACAAACAGTCATGACGGTCAAAGAAGACGAGGTGGAAATGTAATAATCAAAATTTATCGAATAAATCTATGCACTCTGTACCGTAGATCGTTGCTACAATGATCCCATCTGTTCTTTCCTCACTATGTCAATTTTCCCTCCCGAAATGACTCTAGGCTTGGCCACGAAACCTGCTTTGGCCTCGGGGAACCATAGCCAAAGTGACTTAATACAAAGTTTGAGAAGGGAAAGTACACTGAGAAACCTGTGACTCTTACACGTTGCTCAATCCACTTTCATCAGCCGGCACGACGGCCAGACTCGGGCCTGTGACTAACTTAACCTCACCAGATCGCAGATAGCTCCCCGTTAACTGCAATCGCAAAGGTGAATCTAGGAGACACTGGCTGAAGAGTCATCCAGCTGAGTCCGGTCCAAATTGCTGACCTACAAAATTGTGAGCTAATAAATTCTTGTTGTATGAAGACACTGTTTTGGGATGGTTTGAAAACCTAACTGATAAAATCAGATATAGTGAGTGCTAAGCATTTTTTTTTTATTCAAGATCTTATTTAGTCTTTGAATGGCTGTATGTTTTGAATGCTATTATAGTCTTTATTTTTATCCATAAGGAAGCTGACCCACAGAGAGGTTGTTAGTTGCCTTAAATCATACAACTAGTAATAGGCCCAACAAGGTCACAATCGTAGGTAGTTTGTCTCCAGAGAGAGATTCTTAATCGCTAAATCCCTCTGTCGTAAATATGACGGAATATGACAAAACACAGGGGAGGCTCTGCTCCCACGCCCCTGCTCTCTCATAGATCCTGGAGAATAAATCGTGAGTCCTGAGCTATTAAGAAATTATATTACCCATGATTTCCTTTGTGAACTCCATACATTGCAGTTTGCAAGTTCTAATTCACTGTGAAGGGGGTGGCCACTGAGGGAAAGAATGGACAGCAGGCTCAGTGTCTGGGGCTTGGAGTAAAGATATATGGAAGGTAGGGATGTTATTCAAGATGAAAAGTGACCCTAGAGATGTAGACATGGGGGGTGTCAGCAGCTGGCACACACCCCAGTCTTCTTATTTTGAATCTGCAAATGCTGTTTCCAGTCGATGACTTCTGGTGAGCCAAGAAGGGTCTTTGGAGTAGATCTGGTAAGTATTGGTGTAGTGATTAAGGTCATCTGTCATCTCCTGTTTGGGTTAAGAAAAGTCGTATCAACCGAAATATTTCTATTTGTGATTACCATGCTGGTTTTCAGGGGTCCATTACACTATAATATTTTTAAATACTAAAATATTCATTGTTTTTCTGTTGGTGTATTGCCTTCATTTAGGAATTATTTATATTGTGAGGTAAAGAACTTTCTTATTCAATTAATAATGAAAAATGTCCTGAACAAAATTATTCTTAACTCAGCAATTGCTTTAAAATTTCAAACAAAAATGACCCATTTAAAATTATTGTTCCCTCTCTATATAAATCTCAAGGTAGAGGTTTGGTCAATGACCAGCAAAATATTTGGCCAAAAGAATAAATCTTGCTCTAGTGCAAAGATTTTTAAAACATATGGGTTTTAAACATGTCTTTATGAAAACTGATGCAGGTAACAATTTGAGTATCCGTCTATAAGTGATGAAACCATAGAAAGGGATGATGAATCAGATATGCTTCTTTAAAAAATCTTACTATTGTTGAACAAACTACAGTGCTATCAAAAAGAGTAAGCCAACATATTCAAATATACGTAGCAAAATTATCAGACCCAACCTTGAATTATTTGAAGACGCAGGAATAGGCAAGAGGGAAAAAATTATTTTGACCAGTATAGAATCAGAAAGCTCTGTTCCTCTGTAATATCTAGAAAATATTAAGCAGAAGTACACTTCCTATTCAGCAAGGATACTACTGCTCAGACTTTATTTTTAAGAGTGATGTCACCCAAATGACAGTGTAGGAGACTCCAGCCTTTTCCCCCCACCACCCCAAAGCTTTCTATGAAAAAGATCAGCTGTAGGAAAACTCTGGAATCCACTTAAAAACTTCAGCAACACAGGAGAACAAAAAAACCTGAGAATAACTGTACAAAAAGAGAAGGAAGACAGCTTCATTTTGCCTGCATCGTCCCCCACCCACCAAGCCAGCATTGCTCAGCACCTACAGAGAACTACCCAGCCACAAGAGTCCCCTCACCAGCAAAGGAAGTGTAAGGTGGGCAACCAGCTTCCCCAGCCTCTTACTTTCATTTCATCCCACAAAGACTGGCAAAGCTGACGGCTAGAAACAAGAAGGAGCGGTAGAGGCTACCAGTAGCAGCCATGCAGTCAGAGCAACCTGTGGTTCCGACTAACCAGCTCTGCAGACAAAACCAGCAGCTTAGCCAGTGGCCAGCATGGTGATGGCGGGAGGGGGGCGGGAAGGGGGTCCCCCTGCAGACTTCGCCAGCTCTTGCCCTACAGGTATTAGTGTCTGCTGATGCCAGCAATCTGAGTCCCTCCTCACTCCCTCCCCCACTGGCCCCTGATGAAGTCAGGGAACTGTTAGCAGCTGATACCTACTGCTTAGCGCATACCCAGAGCCAGCCCCTCCAGCTGTCCACTTGCATGCCACTGGCCTCATTGTCACCGGCCTTCACTGCTATGTGCATGCCTGGGTGAGACTGTGCAGCCATGGAAGAGTGCACCAGTAGCCAGCAGCTTGAGGGCTTGCTAAGGCCCTATCTTCTGTCACTGACCTGGACCACTGTACTAACCTGCAGCTAGCCCCTCTAGCTGTGCATCTCCATCCCCCCAGCCTGACCTAATCACCAGCCTCCACTTCTGTGTACCCAGCAAGAATCAGCAGCATGGGCACGCGCGCATGTCAGCAGCCAGGGCTCCCACAGCTTATGCGCAGTTTGCCTGGCTCTTGCTTCCTGCCCTGGCCCCCACTGCTATGTGTCTGCAAGTGGCCCCTGCCACTACACAGGCACCTGAAGCTGGCCCCTGCAGCTCTGCGTGTGCACAGTCCTGGCTTCAGCCAGCGCTGATGCCTGCCCTGGCCCCTAGAGGATAGTGCTAGAGGTGCCTCTGAGATCCACTTAACAGCTTTGCAGCCACTGTGGATCCTCTGCAGTGCTCACCAAGGATTACACAGTTGTTGATGCTGTGAATGCCAGTGGCCTGAGCCCAAGAGACATTGTGTTCCCTGGACCTGGTGACTCCACATGTCCTGCACTTGGCACCCTGTACTATTAGACCTGAGGTCATAGCACGCTCCAGTGTGCCTTCACCCACAGGTGAAGGTCTTTACGTACCAATGTCAGTTCATAAGGTCCAGAAGATGTGACTGCTTCTTCAAGTGTTTAGGCACCTATACCAGGCTACGGGGAGCATGAAGAATGGGGAAAACAATGAGAGGTTCGACAAAAGAGATAGACAATATTTTAAAAGCCAGAAATTTGGGAGCTGAAGAATACAATTACTGCACTTAAGCATTTAATAGAGAGCCTCAACAGTGGACTTGACCAAGCAGGGGAAAAAAAGTGAACTCAAAGACAGATCAATTGAAATTATCCAATCAGAAGAGCAAAAAGAAAAAGAATGAAAAAGAGTGAAGAAAGCCCCATGATCTATTGAATGCTATCAGAAGAACCAATGTGTGAATTATTGGATAAATAGAAGAGAAAAAAAGAGGTGGGAGAGAAAGCTTATTTAAAGAAATCATGGCTGAGAACTTCACAAATCTCTGGAAAAATTTGGATATCCACGTTTATGAAGCTCACAGGTCACCAAACAAAATCAACTGAGCAAGAACCTCTCTAAGACACATTGTAACAACCCTGTCAAAAATAAAAGGTAAAGAGAGACTATTAAAAAAGCAGCAAAATAAAACAAACAAACAGACAAACTTGTAGCTTGCCAGGGAACCCCCTTAAGGCCACCAGCAGATTTCTCAGAGACCTTGCAGGCCCGGAGAGAATGGGATGATATTGTCAAAGTGCTAAAAAGAAAGAGACGGCCAACCAAAAATACTTTATCCAGAAGAGCTGTCCTTCGGAAATGATGGCTAGATAAAGACTCGCCCAAATGCACGAAAGCCGAGGGGACCCACCACCACTAGACCTGCCTTATAAGAAATACTACCAGAAGTTCTTCAAGCTGAAATGTAGGAATGCTAATGAATGGCATGAACACATGTGAAAATATACAACACACCGGTAAATGTAGGCATACAGTCAGAATCAGAGTCCTCTGAAACTGTATTACGGTGGTGTTTTAACCATCTAATTCTAGTCTAAAGATTAAAGGAAAAAGTATTGAAAATCGCTATCGCTGCCATAACTTGGTCATAGATACCAAGTATAAAAAAATGTAAATTATGACTTTTAAATTTTATCTAAGCCTCATGGTACCATGAAGGAAAAACTTACAGTCGATTTACAAAAGCTAAAGAGAATGAAAACAAAGCTTACCACTACAGAAAATCATCAATTCACAAAGGCAGGCAGCAAGAGAGGAAGAAAGGAACAAGGGAAATGCAAAACAGCAGAAGACAATAAGATGGCATCAGTAAGTTTTTATTTATCAATCATTACTCTAAATGTAAGTGGATTGAATTCTCCAATCAAAGAACATAAAGTGGCTGGATGAATAAAAAACTAGACCGACTCCATGTTGCCTATAAGAGAGTCACTTCAGCTTTAAGGAAAGCAAATGCTCAAAGTGAAGGAATAAAAAAGATATACCATACAAATGGAAATCACAAGAGAGAAAGGGTAGAAGGGTAGTTTTATTCACATGGGACAAAGTAGACTTTAAACCAAAAATGGTAACAAGAGACTAAGAAGACTATTAACTAATGATAAAGGGGTCGATTCATCAAGAAGATATAACAATCCTAAATATATATGCACTAAATATTGGAGCACCTAAATATGTTAAGTGAATACCAACAGATCTGAAGGGAGAAGCAGAAAACAATACAAAAATAATAGTTGGAGGCTTTAATACCCCACTTTCAACAATGGATAGATTATCGAGAAAAATGAACCTAACATATTCAGAATATTCCATCCAAAAGCAGCAGAATACACATTCTTCTCAAGTGCACATGATGCGTTCTCCTGGAGAGATCATACCATAGGTCACGGGACAAGTCATGGCAAATTTAAAGATTAAAATCATACCAAGGGTCTTTTTTGGTTATAATGGTATGAATCCAGATATCAATAACAGGAAGAAAGCTGGAAAATTCACAAATATGTGGATGTTAAACAACACGTTTCTGAACAACCAATGGGTCGGAAAATAAATCAAAAAGGAAATTAAATCAGAGGAAGACAAATACCGTAGGATCTCTGTCGTATGTGGAATCTCAAAACACCACATCATAGAACCAGAAAGTCAACTGGTGGTTACCAAAGGCTGGGAGGTGAAGAAATGAAGAGATCCTGGTCAAAGGATGCGAAATTCCAGCTATAAGACGAATAAGTTCTGGGGATCTAAAATACAGCTTGGTGGTTATTTTCTGTGCTTTTCCCTGCCCTGGCAGCCCATAAAAAAAAATCACATTTATTTTTAACATCCAGTTTTGGTGAATTGTCCACGAGGAAGCATGTCTGATCCTTCCCTTACAATCTCCACCACATATATATTTTTTATGTCCCGTTTCATTGACTTTATTGATGACTGCAGGTTTCAATACCATATAGTTTCTCAGTGGGAAGACGATATCACAATGAGAAATTGTGTCTTAGTATTAACGACTTTGGGCGGTTTCAAGGTTGGTGTTTTTAAAAGGTAAGAAATATTTTTTTCCTTAGGTTAAGAGTTAAAAATGGAACTAGGGTCTGACTTATTACAGTATAGATGTCTAGCTTGGGACATCTTTCTTTAATATCTTTAATAAAAGATCAACTTCTTGTCTATTCCATCAACATAATCTTAAATTAGCACGACCTTCCATTGGTGGTCTCTCTTCCTATAAACTGCATGCAAGAAATAACCAAGTGTGTTTGGTCTTCAGCATCAGCAGGGTGCTGTTTGGGGGTCTGTCTTGAAAACAAACTAAAATAATTAAGGAGTATAAAAATGTATCATAAATAATTTTAATAAGCTTTCCACTCATTTCTTCCGCTCATTCATTCTTCTGTTGCTGCACCTTTCACACCGTGTTCTTATTTATCCATGGACTTAACCTATATTTTCCTCCAGGCTGTGAGCTTTTTGAGAACAGGTATTTGTTTGCCACCACAATGATTCATTTCTATGTCCCCAGGGACTACCATCTTGTCAGGTGCATGAAAGGCACATAGCAAATACGAACATAAATTCCTATTCATCACACATCTGGCACCTTATCTGCTCCTGAGGGCGGACAACCACTGTATTAAAATCAGGCCACTTGTCCATCAGGGCCTTTAGCTTGAATGGGTTTCCTCGTTTCATGCGGAAAATGGTCCCATAAAACTGCAGCATCCAGAGGGGGTGAGAGAGTAAGTATATTGGGAAAGCATAGCAAAGTATCTTATTTGATCATGACAGGGATTATTTCTATGAAATCATGGAATTTTATAATTGAAAGGTATCTAACGAGCATTTCTGTGAAATAATAGTTTTTTGCATAAAGATATATATGTGTATAATTATATGTATCTTTTAAAAAATATTCATATTGTAAAATATCCAGACCAATAAAATTTATGAATAAAAATCACGAGCCTTCTCACTGTAGGATTTAATACACCTGAAACTGACCTAATGTTGTATGTCAATTATACCTCAATTTTAAAAAGGCAAAAAAAAAAAATCTGTTAATAGATTTCCTCCTAGTCATGTACACATACAACAAATCTTACAAAATGAAAATGTTCAGATAACCAGGATGCCTAAATGTTTCTCCCGTTGAATAAATATGTTCTACTCATTGCTTTTTCAATAAATAACAATGATTTTCATGACTATATAGCATTCTACGATATGGAGGAACCAACGTTCATTTTATAAACTTTTTATTTACTCACATTAGTAGCAAAGATACTTCGAAGAGGTCGCATGAACTCTCACTCAGGTTTCACCAGTAGTAAATCTTAAGTAGCTATATAGTACGAGGTCAAAACTAGGAAACTAGCGTTGGTACAACAATGTGTGTGTTTAGTCTTACGTTCTATCCAGTAGATTCATGTAGCCACCCCCACAATCGGGATACAGAATTACCATGAGCATCTCCCTTCGAGCTACCCCTTTAGAATCAAAGCCGCTCCCATCCCTCTCAACAGTGACATCTTTTTATTCTCCTACAATTATAATGAGGTTCTATGCATCCTATAATGTTTTATCACTTAAGATCGGTTTAATATTTTTCCTCCATCTTTACTGAGGTATATTTGACAAATAAACATATTAGCGATGACTTGATATGCACGTACCTTATACCCCAGTGTTGGGCCTATTTTTATGATTGTAGATTTAAGACCTTTCCTCAGAACTTTCGTGATACTGCTTCTCTGTTTGCCAAGTAGCTCGGGCTGCTCGTGAGAAGTCCAAAGTCAGTGTGATTGTTACTCTGTGAACTGCACCAGTCTGTTCCCTCTCTGTATAACCTTATAGGATCCCGTCTTCATCTTCGGTGCTGGGAAATTGCGCAAATCATGTATCTAATGAGTTCTTTTCACACTCAGTCTGAAGCGAATACTTTCAATCTCAAGTCTTTCTTCACTTTGGAAACTCTTCTACTCCTGCTGTTTCTGCCACCTCTTCTTTCCTATTCCTCATTTTAAATTGTTTTTATCCCTTTACTTGCTCTGTTCTTATTTTTCGAAATGTTGTTTAGATAGATGTTAAAACTTGGCAGTGTCATTCAGTTCTTTTATCTTTTTTTCCATATTTTCCATCTCATCTTCACTTTGTATTACGATCCGCCAGATCATCCAGCTTTTAAATGATCCATAGTGTCCACTTTGCTACTCAACCCTTCTACTGAAATTTTCACTTAAAGTTCCAATATTTTATTTCCGGAATCTCTAGGTGCTTCTTTTTTATGCATGTAACAGAAAATATCACAATTACACTTATCGAAAGTCTTCTACTGTCTCTATTTCTCTTTCAGCGGGTGTGAATTCATCCACAGGTTGCGTCTGATGCCTCCCTTTACCTTGTCAATTCTTTAGTCATT